TCGAATTAAAGTAATTTAAACAACCTATTTCGATTTAATGAATTTAATTTGTTATATTCATTACATTAATATTTAATAGTTTCTATCAATTTTATTTACAAACTTTAAATAAATATTTATATTGCGAATTATTGCAATTTATACTAATCTATTTCGATTTAATGAAATTAATTTGTTATATTTGTTATGTTAATATTTAATAGTTCTTATTAATTTTATTTTTAAACTTTAAATAAATACTTTATATTGCAAATTATTGCAATTTCTAACAATCTGTTTTAATTTAATAAAATTAATTTGTTATATTTGTATGTTAATATTTAATAGTTCCTATCAATTTTATTTTCAAACTTTAAATAAATACTGTATATTGCGAATTATGTGATTTATACCAGATTATTTTGATTTAATGAATTTAATTTGTTATATTTGTTATATTAATATTTAATAGTTTCTATTAATTTTATTTTCAAACTTTAAATAAATACTTTATATTGCAAATTAATTGCAATTTATACCAGATTATTTTGATTTAATAAAATTTAATTGTTATATTCGTTATGTTAAATATTTAATAGTTTTTATTAATTTTTTTAAACTTTAAATAAATACCAATATTGTGAATTATAGTGATTTATAACAAATTATTTCGATTTAATGAAATTTAATTCTTATATTCGTTAAGTTAATATTTAATAGTTGCTATCAATTTTAGTTTCAAACTTTAAATAAATAACAATAATTTAAAATAAATTGACTTTTACCAAAAAATAGTTTTTTAAATTATTAAGAAATTTAAGTTATGCAAATAAATATTCGTTATGTTAACATTTTTAATATTATATTAATTATGTAAGTATTATGTATAAATATATTAATCATTTTTGGAAATTAAACTGCATCAATTTGAAATAAAGCAATAAGTATGTTTAATTCATACAAAATATATATAATGTATAATGTTTAAAATTATTCATATTTGTTTAATTTTATATTTAATAAATTAAAATCACATGAAATTAGCCAAGAAATTTTACTATAAATAGGATATAATTAGATCGACAATCAACATTGTTTTGACAATTCAACAAATCGCTTCAATTCGCTTCAGTTCGCATTATTTCAAGTTAAATCTATTAATTATGCTATTAAGTCAACTTTTTATTCGTTTTATATTATTATTTTTTTGCCTTTAAAGCTTTTTCTACATACTACCTACTAACAAAATTTAAAGTTTTTTTTTTGTAATTTTAAAAATATATTAAACTTTAGTCAAATCCAAGAAAACTTCCAAGAAGGCAGATAGGGGAAATGTTGCAACTCTCAAATCTATACAAAGTTCCAGTCTTAGTGAAAGCTTTACTGAATGATTTAATAGCTTTGGAGTTAATGATAGTAGTGGATCTAATAACTATACAGATGCGAATATGTCTAAATGTATTTAAATTGTTTAAATTTATTCTATTTAATTATTTAATATGTTATTAATTTAAAATATTTAAATTATTCCATTTAATTATTTAATATATTATTAATTTTAAAATATTCAAAAACCAAGGTAAAATTCTTTACGAACTAAAAGTAATTTGAGAAAAAGTCAAAAGAATTGAAAATCGGTTAAATGAGCTTGAACAAAAAATAGATAATAGCTTTAATATAACAAATGATAAAGCCTTTAAAGAAGTAATTTTTTAAATTTGAAATTATTTTTTAATAAAATAAAATTTTTTATTTTTTTTTTGGTATTAAGGTGACCTCTTTGGTCTGGGGAACTTTTTATTAGAGTATAAACGGAGTTTTATAATATAATTACAATGATGGTACATCAAGCCACATGTGCATCTTTTGAGTGCCTAATTTAAGTAGTTTGCCCAAAGATTCTATACTATTTGCCGTACCTGTACCCCAACTAGGGGAGTACCCATTTAAACCATCTGGTTTTAACTACCTCTATCTGCCCTCTAACCCAATAGGTTTCTTTACCATTCATATGCTAGATTTTGGTATCACCAATTAAGGTTTTGCACCCTGCCTTAGAACACTTAACTATCCTCGAGGTAAATTTAATACAGCGGTACATGTCCCACACATGTATTCACATGCATGTTCCTATAACTTCTTCCTAATTAGTACATATTGACCTGCCGTTCCATATTTGTATTTCACGCCACCTTTTGGAGTGCTGCTATTCTATGGATATTTCTCAAGCACCAACCTTCCTAATTAGATGCCCATTATATACTTCTTGCTCTTATTCGGTTCACAACAACCCCGATACCCATATTTGAACCATTTTCTTACTCGGATTCTTTATTAGTCCCTCCCTTACTTCTAGCCAGCAACCCGGATAGGTCGGTCTGCCCAGGCTTTAGGTGCCTGAAGAACGCCCTCCCCTTGGTCTATACTTTCGGAGCGTATGTCTTTTTTCTCTAGTGCGACAGCCTGGCGGTTCAGCTAGTGTGTCTCCCCACTTAAAGACCTGATCGCTTGGTTCTTTAATTTCGGGCCCCGGTTCGAATTCAGCTCTTCTGTGGTACCATCAAAGATTACTACTACCTCCAAATTCGGGACTTGCCAAATGGGTTTTCGGTTATTCCGGTTTCTCAGATTTATTGCGCCAAAGCCCCCATAATTAGATGGTATGACCGAGATTATGGATTTCTAGATCCAACCGATAATTGACAACCGTAAACCATAGCACAGGCTATTTTTCAAAATTCGTCATCCATGGGATTTGAACTCTAGACCTGCCACTTGGAGAGGGTGAATAATATTAATTCTTTTTTTTAAAAAAAATACTATTTTACATTAAAATATTAAATTAAAACAAGCTAAACACTTTCAAGTTTTTAAAATTTTTTAAGTCTATTTATAAAAAAGTTATAGCAATTAAATATGAAATTTGGCACCTTTTATACTGTATATATAAAAAAAAAAGCAAATTTGGCCTCTTTAAACAATTAATTTAATTTTATATATACAGTGTTATATGGAAATTACCTCCTAATATCTCTATAATTCTTGTGCATATTATCATGAGATATCTAGAAATAAAAGAGAACTTATCCTGTTATTGCTGATGAATATGATATGCATATCAATGACTAAAAGAAGAACTTGATTAGTATCATAGATTAATGCATAGCAAAGATCATCTTGAACCACTAAACTATTAATCTTTAAGGATTGAAAAATGATCACCTTACTAATATTCATATTGTCTCCTTATTAGTACTATTATACATAGTACTCTATTTCCTAAACTGCTACTACTATACATATTACTTCTAGTTACTATATTAGTCCCAATATTGATGATGTGAAGCGTAGAAACAATACATGCTGTGACATCAATAGTAGTCTTAAAAAGGGCCTAATAGCTACTGCGTCGATGATCTCATTACAAAATTGGCTTCATTGCTACTGCTATTTTAATGAAAAGCTATATCCTGCTCATATCATCCATGTGGATGAACAAGAAATACATTAAATAAACTTGGGCTGAGAACACAAAGTTATTATCCATAATCATGATGGATCAAGGCCCATTGAAAACAAAGACCAAGGAGAGTATAGCAATATTGGGTGAAGGAATTGGAGTTGAAAAGAATAATCTTTGATTGATAGATTGATAGATAGCTTTTAACTTCATCTATTGTAATTAATTATATGACTGCATTTGTTATTTAAGAACCGCACTTTTTGCCTTCAGAATAGTTCTACAGACTTCGATTCCCTTTAATAATTATATCCCTACATATAATTCTCTTAATAGCCACTTCGAATTCTTCACTGTAATTCTTTAACTGTAATTCTCTTAATAGCCACTTCGAATTCTTTACTGTAATTCTTTAACTGTCTTCGTACAGTTAACTTCCTTGTTATTAATAAACTACACTTCATGTCTTCATACACGATTCCATAAAACTTGTTAATTCGGATTTACATGAGACTTGCGATCCTTGGTTGTTAGTGAGTAGTCATGTGTGACTCGTGACCTTTTATTGTTGCATCTCCACATACATTCATGCTGATTGCCTCTTTCGTCAAAGCCTTATTAAACCTCTTGCCTAAGTCATTGTATCAACGCTTCTTTAACCCACCAAATCATAAATTAGTAGTCTGAGATAGACTAACTTCTTTAGTTCCCGGAGTTGTTCTGAGAGGTCAACTTCAGGTGTAACAACAGTATTATAAATTTAAAATATGGCTACTTTATATATAAATATTAGCAAAATTTTCAAATTGGTCTCTTCATATATATAAAAAATAAAATCTGAATTTGGCCGCTAAAAATTTTTAGTTGCTGTAACAAGGTTGTCTGTGTATAAAAAAAAACTAGAAAAAACACTTCAAAAAATTTTTAAAATTTTATATTAAAAATAAGTTCAAATTTCAGCATCATCCCCGACATAATTAATAAAGTAACAGGCAAGACCCCAGCTTAAAAAAAAATTATCAAATTCATAAAATAATACTAAATAACAATATTTAGCAAATTATTATTAATATATGATGTTTTGTAATAATATAGCAGTAGTATATAGCAGTCTATATATTATGTCAAACACAGCTGTTTTTCTTATCGATATATCTATTAATTTGAATATTCTATACTAGATTATTTATCTTTCTCTTTTCAAACTTAAGATCGTATCTCAAATTCTTAAAGCTCGGTGTAAAATATTGTATAATATCTAAATCATGTTTTTTGACATCTGTAATATTGTATCTATGAACAAGAGTAGCAATCAAAAGCCTTAATTCCATCATTGCAAAACTTGTTACATTTTTTTTTGTAAATGAGATTAATTTGAAGAATATTGTAAAGGTTAGTTTATTTGTTGTTCGAATAAAAGAACTTAAAATAATAATATATATAGTTTAAATATATATTAGATTACTTACTTCTGCCCGATACAATTTCTTAAACCTAAAAATATAAGGTAATTAATTAAATTAAAATTGAATAAATTTCCTGAGTCAATAATATAAAAAACTCAACCTGAAGAAAATGGATAATACACATCACGTGGAATATTTTCAGGCTCCAGCCATCTTTCAGGTATAAACTCTTCAACATTTTCACCCCAATAATTTGGATCATGGTGGAGATCGTAAATGTTCAAAACTAAATTTGTCTAATATAAAATATTCATAATCGAATTTTAACTGATAAACAAGTAAATCAATTTTCATTAATAGATCGAAATTTACATTTTTGGGAATCATATATTTGCCAAATATTGTATCTTTTTCTGGAGTTCTTCCAATACCTATTATTAAACGAGGTTAATATGTATAAATAGATAAAAGATTGAACCTCTAATAAAAGATAACATTTACCTCCGTCCTGTCAGGCGCATCGATAAATAAATAAATAAATAAATACATGTAAATGGCCAAAATAATCTCAAATCACCAGACTTAATTAAATTATGTACCAAAAAAACAGGCCACAATCTCATAGTTTCACTAATAACGGCATTCAAATATTTCAAGTCCTTTAATTTATCATGAGTAGGCAGTTCATCGATGCTCAAAACCTCATCCAACTCTTTAACAAGGAATAATAATTTTTGTGGATTTTTAGAAAGTTGAACAATTGTCATTGCCGTTGTAAACGAAACAGTGTCTGTTCCAGCAATTCTGAAAATAAGTAAAGGTAGAAAAATTAGAAATGGTAAAATTAAATAGAATACAAAAGTTGATGAGAAAATTGTAAATAAATGGCATACAAAAATTCTACGATCTGATCATAGACCTCAAGGTCTGTCATTCTATTTTCATTTTCACTTTGTTTCATCTTATCTTTAGGTTGATCTGTTTCAATTTCAAAGGTATTTAATAAAATTTGTAAAATATCGGTTTTTGGATTAGTTCCTTCTCGACGAGTTTTGATTAAGTTATAAGAAATCTACATAGAGGAAAAAAAAAGAAAAATTAAAAGATTATATACAAATCATAATATGTAATAATAAATGAGAACTTACATTTTTTAAGTATGGATCTTCTATTAACCAAGGTTTTAACAGCGGAAATAATGTTCTCTAAAATTTCGATGTTAATCTATTAGACAAAAAATTTAAAAATATACCGGTATATATTTGTATTTACTAACCATCAGTCTTCTTTTTAATTCTTTCCAAACTTTTTCGGGCAAAGGATGTTCACCAGCTTTGATACTGTTAAACCTCCCGCCAAATGATGTTTCACCAATTATATCCTCATTAAAGAGAAAAAAAAATAAAAAATCGAGTTCTTTCTCTATGAACCTAATAACCGTTTTCTTAAGAATTACCTACCACTGTACAAATCTGAATAAGATTAACAATATTCAAAACATCACCTTTACTTTTTAACATTTCATCAACATTATAAACTAAATCTTTTATACAAGTTAACATCAATTTCTCTAATGATGCAATGTATTTTATGGAGAACGCAGGAGAAATTACTCGACGCTATATTCAAGTTGAGAAAAAAAATTGGTTTTGCGAGGAATTTAAGTGACATTTGTAGACTTCGGATACATACACGTTGTTTATGAAAGGTTCTATCACTTTTTTAGATGAAAAAAATATAAGTTGGTTTAAACGAAATGAAGAAAGGATTCTTTTTTTTTAAAAAAAACATACGTTGAAGAAAATAATGTTTCAGATCCCTCATTCATTCTAAAAGTTTTGTAAATCTCGCTTTTTGGAAATTCCTGATGTGAAAATAGACGAAATCAATTAAGGCATATAATGAAGTCTACGACAGATTCAAAATTTTAAATGAACGTACGGCTGTGAAGATCTATAAAGATTAAAAAAAGTCATTTATAGAACAAATTATCGTTTATAAGAACAGTAATAAACATGAATTACTTGTTTAATGGCATCTTTGTCTGAAATCATAACAAGCTTCGGTCCTTTGTTAAAAACAAGTAAAAATCGCTGTTTAACCAAACAAATCATACTATGAGAGTTTACCTAATATAGTTTGAAAATAAGAACATACCAAGCCTGACAAATTTTCCATATCTTGGCACAACTTCAAATTGTAAGAATTTCCATCTTTCAAATAAATACATACACGCACATAAAATCAAAAAAAAAGAACAGTCAATATTAGCCTATTTTATGTAATTAGATTCCAATTTGAGATCCAAAACTTCATCCTTTAAATTACCTATACCCAAACAATTGTTTAGAAGAAATAAAAAGCCGAGTTAATGGAAATAACTTTGGTCCCGGGATATTGGATAACGGACCAAAATATGCAGTATAGATGATCTATTATTATAATAAAATTTAATGCTTTATCATCTTTTTTTTCATCAAACATGATCACATTAAAAAAAAATCATACATAATATATTAATTTCAAAATCCATATTAATATAATGGTTCTAGATATTTCAAATAAAACTTTAAGATCAATAAATTGATGAATCGATTGCAACATTTTGAAAACTATGTAATAATCGATTCTAACAGGTAGATTCTTTTAAATTTTTACGTTATGTCGATCGTCTCAATCAAAATTTACAAAGTTCAAATTTAGCTCATATTTTGATTATAGATCGATAAAGAGTAATAAGTACTGATAATCATCTTGATTTAGCTTCCATAAATATATTCGATCAATTTGATGGTTAGTTCAAAGAAGGCTAGTAATTTTGTTTATGTATAATGTACCTAAAATTTAAATTAGATTCTTACAAAAATGGGTTCGTGGTCTACATTAAGCTTAGGCCGATTATGTTTAAAATCAGTCAACGATTAGCAACTCACATTTATATATTTAGATTAGAACCAACCTAGCTCGGAGAAATTATTTCTCGAAATTCACTCGAGTCTCATGATCTTTTGGCACCTGAATTGATATTGTGAATTTTTTTCATTTAGTATCCCTTATTATTCGGGATTCCTATTTATATTACAAAAGGAATGAAAAGAAGAACTTCTTTTATTCAGGATAATGTGGATAATTTAATTCACGAGTATAAATTTCATTTATTCGTCCGATTCACTACAGATTTCATATTTACAGATCAACATTCACCTTGGATATAACGAGCTATATACAAAATTTTATATTTCGTACTGTATTTGTTTGGTATAGTAATGTGGTGGGCTTTAGAAACAATAATTTGTATAACAAGCTTTTTTTAAAGAAAAGTAGATTCTAACGTTAAACTTTATAAAGATTATAAGATCGGAAAATTATGTAACAGTATTTATAATTTTTTAAATAAAATTAAAAATATTAATGAAATACGGTATATTACAGTACATATAAATATTATCTTAAAGCATATTGTATTCTACAAACTTCATTATAATTTACAGCTTTGAAATACAGTAATAAAAGGTAATATTTTTTTTAAAATTCTATGTTTTTAAATCTGAAAAAAATTTTACTTCTAATACAAGTCTTAGTTTTTACAAATAAATCATTAAAAATATAATAATAAAAATTAATATTCTAATCAGGGTTTAAAATTGGTTTGCACAAGATGCACATGTGCAAGTAGATTTTTTTTGTGCAAGAGAAGTTCTAAATATATATGCACAAGTGTGCAATTAAATTTGAATAAGAAGCTTGCGCAAAAAATGATGTGCAAAAGAAAATATAAAATTTTATTGCACTAAAATTTTTAAATATAAAATATGGATAGGCTAAAGATATTCTGAAAAGGTCCGAAAGAAAAATGAATAAACATAAAATACAAGCAAGGTTGAGCTTAAATTTTGAGAAAATATCAAAAAAAATCAACCAAAAATATAAGATATATCTGATGTAGTAATTTTTAAATTTTTATACTATTGGATCACTTAGACAAAAAATATGAGTATATAAAAATAAAATTTATATGCACATGTGTGCAACTAGTAGTTGGTTTGTGCAATTAAAACCTAGAACACAACTGCATTTGTGCATGTAAGGTTTGATCTGAATTTTAAACCCTGTTTGGAGGTAATAAATATATGTATATAAAAAAAGATTTTATATGCATACATGTAATTGGTTTGTGTAAGTAAAACTTGCGGTACAACTGCAATAGAAGATTTTAAACTGAATTTTAAACCCTGATTCCAATATACTGTAAATTATAATATTGTATATATTTACAGTATATTTAAAAATTTACTAAGCATTTATAAATAATTTTTTTAGTTAAAAAATTTGGGTTTAAATTTATCTATTTTTAATTTACTGTATTTATACTTTTTCTTATACAGTAAAATCAAATATTACTTATAATACAGTAAATTCTTATTTTTTAAATACAGTATATTGTATTAATAAAAGAATTTTAAACTTTAAAAAAAGATATAAGCAAATTTATCAAACAAATTTATCTAAAAAATCCACAACTTAAGATATACGTAATATTAAATACCATTAATATAATTTAATAAAAGCAAAAATTTTTATTAAAATTAATAAAATACAATGATTATTCTAACATTTTTATTAAAAAATTTTAAATATTCATTACAATTACAATAATATATATTCAATTAAGAATTATATCATTTTGCGTATATGCGCTGTAATGCACCTCATAAGATCAGGTGTAAGGTAGGTGGCACAAAGTCCCTGGGCATGCCCTAGAGGCATGCCTAGGGGGCATGCCCCTAGGGCATGTCTTTAGGCCAAAAGGCATGCCCCTATCATATGATTATAGGAAAGATTATCACGAATATAATTGGTTAATATTGAAAATTTTTATATAGTTGCACTCTTAAGTGTATACTTTCTAAGTGCATAGTATACGAAAACTTCTCTAAGTGCACAACCCTCATGGTTCCAAAAAATTAATTTTTAAAAATTTTAACTTTATTGCACATTTAGTTTTTTTTTTACTATAGTCCTAAGGGCATGCATTTATAGGACATAAAAATTTTTTTAGTAATTTATATATTAGAGGGCATGTCCCAGGGCACAATAAGAGAGGCATGCCTTTGCTTAGAGGCATGCCCCTGGGGGCATGCCCCAAAATTTTACTATGCCTACCCTAATTAGGTGTAATGTGAAATCAAAACAATAAATTTTCATTAGTTTAGATTTAGGTTAGGGTTAGGTAAGGGTTAGGTTAGGGTTAGGTTAGGGTTAGGTTAGAGTGCCTTAGAAAAAAGGTTCTAACCCAAAATTTTGCAAGAAATTTTTTTTGTTAGTGCACGAAGAGAGGTTTCATAAGCAAAATTTTTAGCTACAAGCGATTTTTTAAAAGATCGCTATTTTTTTCGATTCACGTTACACCTGATCTTAAATTCTGATTGGTCGATCAGTGGGTGCGTTACTACGCATATGCAGCAGGGGGAACCGTCACATCATTTGTAGATCCGTTACACAATTCATAAAAATTTTTTTTATATTATTATAAAGTACTTTTTCAAAAAGCTCACGTTACTTACCCCACTTTAAAACATGGAGTAGTGCTTCGTAAACTTGAGGGTTTCGTACGGTATTTTAATAATATCAGTTGAATCCCAGTGAATCCCACAGCTTTTATATGACGATTTACCCAGCAAAGGTATATA